CAGCTGGCAAGGAAGCCCAGGCAGTCTTGCACTATTTGAGACGGGGGTGGCCTTCCAACTCCCAGCATTCCCCAGCTTAACATGAACTGCAGGAGGAATTCTGGGAGTTGAAGTCCGTCCCCCCCCCCCCCCCCCCCCCCCCCCCCCCCCCGCCGCCGGGGGGCCCCCCCCCCCCCCCGCCCCCCCCCCCCCCGGGGGGGGGGGGGGGGTGGGGGGGTCGGGGCGCCGCCCCCCCCCCCCCCCCCCCCGTCTCAAAAGCTGCCAAAGTTTGGGGAGAGCCCTGAGCCCTTTGGCTCCGACGTACCGGCTCGGGGCGGGCGGTATCGCTGGCAGCCGCTGGAGGGCCGGCGCTTCAAATACACGGCGCAGCGGTCGGCCCAGAGGCAGCAGGAGTAGAAGCTGAGCACGTCGTAGAGCCAGTGGGAGAAGCCCGGGATGCGCGGGGGCTGCTTGTAGGGCGGGGCTCCCCAGTCGTGGCCTCGGTCCGGGGTGCTGCCCCCCGCGGAGTCCTCCGTCAGCACCTGGACGCCCCGCCGGCTGTAGCAGCACTGCTGCCCCGCGCCGTATCGCGGGCTGCGGGAGAGGAGGACCGCTCAACCGCGCGTCTTCAACCAAGACGGCTTGCAGACTTTGTGGACTTCAACTCCCAGAATCCCTCCCGTCCAGTCCTGTGAGCTCAGGAATTCTGGGAGTTGAAGTCCACAAAGTCTGCAAGCAGTCAACCCACATCACCCCCAAATTCACCCCCCCCCCCCAAACTGGAAAACAATCCATGGCCCTAAAGCGACTTTGAAGACTGGTGGACTTCAACTCCCAGAATCCCTCCAGTTCCACTCACATAAGCTCAGGAATTGTGGGAGTTGAAGTCTACCGGTCTTCAAAGTCGCTTTAGGGCCATGGATTGTTTTCCAGTTTGGGGGAGGGTGAATTTGGGGGTGATGTGGGTTGATTTCCCCGGCGGAGGGCAGAAGAAAAGAGAATAACAGAGTCGGAAGGGAACTTGTTGGGTCATCTAGTCCAACCCGCCGCCCAAGCAGGAGGCCCGAGGGCAGTTTCCGACCCGAGGGCGGAGGAAGAGCCTCCTCACCTGGCCTGAACGCTCCGGACACAGTGAACAGCCCCAGGGTGATAGGTGCAGACGCTGCCTTTCTCCATGTCGCAGCCGTAATCCGTCTGGAAGGGGGAGAGGCTCCGGTCAGAAATCCCTGCAGAAAAGGATCTTGGGGGGTGG